TGTGACTCGTCACATGAAGGGCTTTCCAACGATACCTCTATCATCGCTCTACGACCTCGTTTGGCCGAGTTATAACACTTAACGAGGTGAGCGGTTTCAAACGGTTGTCGCCCCCTAGCTCCGCGGTGGAACATGGCAGGGACAAAAGCCGTACACCGTTGCGTTCGGCTGGCCGAGCCGGTTCCGTAGAGGTCTGATTTGTGCCTGTGCGACCTTCGGAACAGATTTTGGCCTTTGATCGCCTAGCTTTTTAGGGTAGGGTAAGGATCTACGGTCCTGAGACAGTCTTGAGCTTCTGGTCCAAAAACGGTCACTTAGACTTCCAAAGGGGATAGACGCCTGAATTTTGGATATGTGGTAGAGGGCCACGAGACGAGTCCAACGGTGTAGGGTAGACCTCCGGGGGCCTTACGGTTCTCGGTGGGCAGGCCTTAGAGCGGGAAAATTTTTCACGCTAATTAAGCTCGTCACGGCTTCAAATTTAATGGAAACGAGTCCAAATTCGGCACACGCCCATTTCAACCCCGTCCGACCGAGAATCTAAAGTTTCAACCCGCTCGGACACTCGGTTGGCTACTTTGCTTGCTATTGGTCGGTTTGAGTGGGCGCCTACATATTCGAGCTCAGAATAGCCTGCTGTGTAACGTAGTCAAAAATGAGGCTGGTAGTCCAAAGTTGAAATTTTGGTACACCTCCCCTTTAATGTTAGGCTTTTGAAGGCCCAAAAAGTGCTTGGAGGCTTGTAAAAAGTTCAAATTTCATCCAAACTAGTCGAAACTTGGTACGCACCCTTCTACGTACAAGCTGAACATTCTTCCAAAGTTTCAACTGGCTCGGCCACCCGCTTTGTAAAAGAGGAGGGTCTCGGTGGCCAGGAAAATCCAGGAAAGTCCTGACTTTGGTTGGAGGACAGCGCCACCTTGCTGCAGCTCATATATGTGACTCGTCACATCTAGGGCTTTCCAAGGACACCTCCGTTATCGTTCTACGACCTTGTTTGGCCGAGTAATTAGACTTAACGAGGCGCTTTTTTAAAAAAAATCGTCGCCCCCTAGCGCCGCGGCTGAACATTGCAAGGTCAAAAGCTTTACACCGTTGCGTTCAACTGGCCGAGCCGATTCCGTAGAGGTGTGGTTTGTGCCTGTGCGACCTTCGGAACAGATTCTGACCTTTGAAAACCATGTTGAGCGGGCCTTAGGTATACGTGCCCTTAAAACCCTAATCATGACCCCCGAGTCAATATCCATCATAATGTGGTTCTGCTGTTGGTAGAGTGGTTAAGGTGATGGGATAGAGATCCAATGCTTGCGGGTTCGAATCCTGCCGATGCCATTTATATTATTATTGTAAAATTAGAGATCCAGTGATCAGTGGACTCTAAATGTATTTGAAAATGACTAAGAAGGAATTTCTGTTTTTTTAGTAGTCTACTGCTAATGCTAATGCTACTGATACTGCTACTATCACTACTACTACTACTACTACTACTAGTCTACTGCTAATGCTAATGCTAAAGCTAATGCTAAAGCTAATGCTAAAGCTAATGCTAAAGCTAATGCTAAAGCTAATGCTAAAGCTAATAATGATGGTGATGGTGATGCTAATGCTAATGCTAATGGTGATGCTAATGCTAATGCTAATATTAATGGTGATGTCAGTGGTGATGCTAATGCAAATGCTAATGCTAATGCTAACTTAATGGGTTTTTGGGTCTCCTGCCAACCCAAACCAGTGGTAGGAGTGGCACTGCTCTACCACTACTACTTTTTTTCACAACACTTTAGAGAGACGCCAGTCACACAGCGGTCTCTCTGACACCAGCTGGACACGCTCAATGAAGGGCAAGTTCTTATTCCCAAGTTTTGCGCAAAGTTAGAGCTAGAGCTCTACAATTTGGACAGGTCATAGCCTGTGTTTATGTCATCTATGAGCCTGAATTTTGGGATTCTGCATGGTTGGGAACCCCCTCAAAATGGATCCGAAAAAATGTGGAAGCAGAATCTGGAAGTTGCTTCCAACTTCCAGATTTTCATCTATTGCATTGCTTCCAACTTCCAGATTTTGAACTCACACAAAGGTTCTCATAAACACACTTTTACTCACACACAGGTCCTCATAAACACACTTGTACTCACACACAGGTCCTCATAAACACACTTGTACTCATACACACACTTGTACTCATAAACACACTTGTACTCACACCCATGTCCTCATAAACACACTGGTCCTCATTAACACACGTGTATTCACACACAGGTCCTCATAAACACACTTGTACTCATACACACATTTGTACTCACACACAGGTCCTCAAACTCACTTGTACTCATAAACAAACTTGTACTCCGTACGGCGGCACGGTGGCTGAGTGGTTAGCACTCTCGCCTCTCAGCAAGAAGGTCCTGGGTTCGAATCCCGGTGGGACCAGGGCCTTTCTGAGTGGAGTTTGCATGTTCTCCCCGTGTCTGCGTAGGTTTCCTCCGGGTGCTCCGGTTTCCCCTACCACTAAAAATATGTACAATAGTTCTGGCATGTGCCTCCTGTACTGGCCCCGCTCCCAAAAATAACAATTGTAAACCGCTTTGAGACTCCGATGTGCAGTGAAAAGGCGGTATATAAATAAACATTACATTACATTACATTACATTACTCATACACACACTTGTACTCACACACAGGTCCTCATAAACACACTTGTACTCATACACACACTTGTACTCACACACAGGTCCTCATAAACACACTTGTACTCACACACACAGTGTGACTTTGTCCCATGCAAAGTAATGTACGCATTCACGTCTGTATTTTTCCCTCCCTTTCGGCCAAAATGTTTGGAGAGATCCGGTCATTTATCAAACTAAAGTATTCTTTCCTTGGCAGTCTGGTGAATGACTGAGAGTTGAGGAGCTTTGTCTTTGACAGTTCTCGTCAACTGAAAGGCCACCGCAGACTGCAATATAAGATCTCAGCGCTAGATGGCACTAAATATAACACAGTGTACCTTTAAGTTTTTAAGAAAGATCCCAGTTTTTCCAATGTAAAAAGTTTATTGAGAAACTAAATATTAACATACTTTGCTTCAGAGGAGTAAATGCATTTGTTTTACAAAATCTCACTGTGAATCTCCCTCAGCTCCATGTCCTGTAACATCGACCCATTCAGTTTGTATTTAAAACCGGTTCAAATCCTCCAGAAAATAACAAATACAACAGTAATTTTTCCTGAAATAATGACTGAAAAGGTTTAGGCTGATGTCACTGATCAAAGCCTAACATCAGAGAACAGTCTAGGGTTTGAGACCGGGATCAGGCCGACAGTAGATGACCCTGAGGCGTTCCACCGCCTCCTTGGAGCGCCCCCTGGTGGTCAGACAGACAGACTCTTTACGATGTATAGATTTCTTATGAAACAATAAAGCAACAATAGTTGAAGCTGAACTCATTACAACAATAAGCTGAAGCAGGTTTTCCACAGTTTTGGTCTGAAGCTAACGAAGCTAATGAAGCTAACAAAGCTAATGAAGCTAACTTCTCTCTGGTGCGTCGCAGATGCTGAAGGAGGAGGACCCTGATTGGTCCAGACAAAATGGTCTTTTTACCAACAGTAGAATTATCATTTTGTCTTTATTTATAAAAGCTTAAGCCTCACACTCTTTTAAGTAATTAAGAAATATTTATTTTGTCGCTTTACAATTGTTTGTGGACAGAGATGGAGCAGTCGCCTACAGGAGGCTCATGCCTGACCTATTGTGCATGTTTTTAGTGGTAGGGGAAACCGGAGCACCCGGAGGAAACCTACGCAGACACGGGGAGAACATTCAAACTCCACTCAGAAAGGCCCTGACCCGCCTGGGATTCGAAGCCTCTTGCTGAGAAGCGAGAGTGCTAACCACTCAGCCACCGTGTCGCCCATAAACTTCTGCAGTTTGACCCGTTTCCACTTCATCAGAACTGTCTCAAACGTACGTCGCTTTACTGCAACGTGCAGCACTTTACTGTAACGTGCAGCACTTTACTGCAACGTGCAGCACTTTACTGTAACGTGCAGCACTTTACTGTAACGTGCAGCACTTTACTGTAACGTGCAGCACTTTAATGCAACGTGCAGCACTTTACTGCAACGTGCAGCACTTTACTGTAACGTGCAGCACTTTAATGCAACGTGCAGCACTTTACTGCAACGTGCAGCACTTTACTGTAACGTGCAGCACTTTACTGTAACGTGCAGCACTTTACTGTAACGTGCAGCACTTTACTGTAACGTGCAGCACTTTACTGTAACGTGCAGCACTTTACTGCAACGTGCAGCACTTTACTGTAACGTGCAGCACTTTACTGTAACGTGCAGCACTTTACTGTAACGTGCAGCACTTTACTGTAACGTGCAGCACTTTACTGTAACGTGCAGCACTTTACTGCAACGTGCAGCACTTTACTGTAACGTGCAGCACTTTACTGTAACGTGCAGCACTTTACTGTAACGTGCAGCACTTTACTGTAACGTGCAGCACTTTACTGTAACGTGCAGCACTTTACTGTAACATGCAGCCCTTTACTGTAACGTGCAGCACTTTACTGTAACGTGCAGCACTTTACTGTAACGTGCAGCACTTTACTGCAACGTGCAGCACTTTACTGTAACGTGCAGCACTTTACTGTAACGTGCAGCACTTTACTGCAGCCTTAAAGCGCTTCATGACCTTTGGCTGAAAAGTGTTGACTTTTTTGAAAGTAACTTCAAAAACATCAACAAAGTTTGTACCATCTTCAACCCTTAGTCTTTTTCTCTGCATCAAATGAAGAACATTTGACGCCGAGAAGAAGAAAAGTTGGTTTAAGGTTTTAGAGGAAGTTACAGAACGTTCATTTTTCTGCTGCAAAAATATTGAAATTTTTGCCTCAAAATGAATTTTGAACAATTCAGAAGTGAGAGGGTCTTAACAGTATCTACAGAAGGGAGAGGGTCTTAACAGTATCTACAGAAGGGAGAGGGTCTTAACAGTATCTACACAGCGCGTGGCGGACTGAGTGGAAGAAGGAGCTCAGTCTGCTCCTCTTCTTCTTGGGTCCAACCAGGCGGTTGTGGATCTCTGAGATGATGCAGTCGCTGAAACCTTCGTGGATCAAAGCAGTAAAGTGGACCCATGTCTTCTTGTTTCCTGAGCACAGCTCTTTGTAAACGTCACAAGTGATTCTTTTGATGCAGTCCGGACTCTCCTTTATCCTCCACTCCCACATTTGTTCCTCCAGTCGCTGAGACAGCTTCGTCACCAGAGGATGTGTCGGAGACAGGTCTTTGTCCTGGAGAATATGTCTGGACACCCCCCACGCTAGATCCTGGATCTGACTGGTCTCCCACTGAGAGGAGAGCTCATGGTTCTTCATGATGAGATCTGAGGCCTGGTCTGGGACCTGGTCTGGGACCAGCTGCAGAGGCCTGAGCGGGGTTTCAGAGGGAGAGTATCTGGTCTTTATGGGAGACCTTTCTCGCTTGTTCATGGAGATGCTCTTCATTGGGGTCTGGTCTGGGATCAGGACCAGGGCATCAGAGTTATACCTGATGGTTTTCACCTGCTGAGACTCGCTGATGGATGAAGTCACCTGTGCAGGAGCAACACGGGGAGACTTTTCTGATTCACTCGTGGAAAATCTTTCAACCGGGGTCTTGGTCACTTCAAGCCCACTCTGCAGGTCCTGGGCCGGTCTCTGCTTTCTCTTCTTCTTCTTCTTTGGTTTGGTCAAAGAGCTCTGAGCTGGTTCCTGGTTCTGTGGCGGTTCACACGACGAGGTCTGCTCGGTCTGATGAGTCTCAGTTTCATGGGTCTCAGTCTCATGGGTTTGGGTCTCGGTCTCATGGGTCTCGGTCCCATTGGTCTCGGCCTCACGGGTCTCGGCCTCACGGGTCTCGGTCTCCTCGTGGGGGACCCCAGGGGAGTGTCTCTGCATCAGGACTTCTCCAAATGAAAGAATGTCCCACTCCTCCTGCGTCACCTCCATCTGCTCCATCAGAGGTTCTGCAGAGACATGAGCTCGACCCGGGGAAGGGTTTCTCTCACTGACCTCTGTCCTCGCTCTCTCCTGTTCTGACTCTTCAGTGGCTTCGATGGACGTCTCCACTTCCAGCACCTCTGTTTTCAGGTGGCTCTCAGTGAGACCTTTGGAGATCTCGGCCTGGATGAGTCGGTCCCACTGGTCGGAGAAGGTCATGTGGGGCAGGAACATAGAAGCCTGAGCAGCGATGTGGTGCAGAGTGCTCCGTGCTGTGGAGCAGTCCTTCTGCTCCACCAGCAGCAGACTCTCAAAGCCACAGTTGTCCTTCAGCACAGAGTTGACCGTCTTAGTCACTTCTGCACTGAGGAGTTTGATGACTCGGTCCAGGGCGACGAACTCATCTGTGGACTTGGTTTTCAGGAAGGTTCTGAAGATGGGGCTGAGAGAAGCTCTGACTCCTGTGTGCGACACCTGCACCTCACCAGGGGAACACTCATAAAGGCACTTCCCGGTCACCAGCGCCCTGAGGACCTCATTGGCCGACACACGGATCAGATCCATGAACATGTCCTCCATCTTGGCCTTGGCCTCCTGCTCAGTGATGTCCTGAGCTCGAAGTTTGTCCCAGAAGGATCTGAGAAGACACTTTATATCTTCTCCGATGACGATGGGCAGATCCTCCAGAGTCGTCTTGCTTCCACTCATGGCCTTATCTGGCGACCTCTGAGTGGAGTAAATCTGGCCCGACTGAAATCTCTCTGAAAATCTCTGGGTCTGTGGCCCCGTCTTGGCGTCTCCTATCTCCTGTAACATCTCTCTATAGAGAGACCTGTCCTTGTTATTGCTTCCTGCCATAATGAAGATTAAACTAAATTGAGTAAATCTGCTGTCTGCCGGACTCTGCTAGACAATCCATCCATCCATCCATCTTCTTCCCTTTAATCCATTTCTGGGTCAGGTGAAATCTATCTATGACACGTTACCATGGAAACGATCATTCCGTTTCCATGGTAACGGGATTCTATGGAATGAATCCAGGTGGAAACACGTTGCAGTGTGTTACCATGGAAACCCTCTGTTTGGAAGTTGTTTCTATAATGAATATAGTGGTGGGAAAAAAAAGACGATTCTGTACAGTATCGCGATATTCTGCGCAGACAATTAAATGAATACAGTGGAGCAAAGTATTGGACTATTTAATTGAATCTGTTTTACTTCAGGGTTGAGGTGAGGGAGAGAGGGGAGGGAGAGGAGGGAGAGAGACCTCACTCATTCACCTTTATCTGTTCTGACAATAAACCAGTGTCCTGCAGCTCCTGAACATTGAGTCAAAATAAAGAGTCCAGTGTGTGAGGGTCAGAGCTTACCTTCCAGTTCCTCTGGGGGTGACCTCGCAGAGAGGGCAGAGGGGGCAGACAGGGCAGAGAGGACAGACAGGACAGAGAGGGCAGACAGGGCAGACCCAGGAAGCAGGAACGACCTCTGGACAGAGTCTGCATGAAGAGGGCCTTGTACGGAGCATAGTCCACCACGCCCACCTGGTCGTGCAGCAGCTGAGGACACACCATAGACTGTATTAACGGATGTAGTCACGCCCATCTGCGTCATTCAAACTATTGCTCCACCACTTTCGCCGTCCATGTGGCTCTACGTCCATGAGGATCTACAGCCTCAGTCCTGATCTACAGCCTCAGTCTGGATCTACAGCCTCAGTCCTGGATCTACAGCCTCAGTCCTGGATCTACGCTCAGTCCTGGATCTACAGCCTCAGCCTCGCTGCTACAGCCTCAGTCCTGGTCTACAGTCCTGGTCTACAGCCTCAGTCCTGGATCTACAGCCTCAGTCCTGTCACAGCCTCAGTCCTGGATCTACAGCCTCAGTCCTGGTCTACTGACCTCAGCGTCTACAGCCTCAGTCCTGGTCTACAGCCTCAGCCGGTCACAGCCTCAGTCTGGTCTACAGCCTAGTCCTGGATCTACAGCTCAGTCCTGTACAGCCTGTCACTCACAGCCTCAGCGTCTACTCAGGGTCTACGCTCAGCTGTCTACAGCCTCAGTCCTGGACTACGCCTCAGTGTCTACAGCCTCAGTCGTCACGCCCTGATCTACGCTCGTCTGTCACGCTCTACAGCCTCAGTCCTGGATCTACAGCCTCAGTCCTGGATCTACAGCCTCAGACCATTTTATAGTTGTGCCTGAACCCAACAGTAAAACGTAATGGGGAAAAAACCTTTATTTCACTTATTTACAAAACAAATACTGTCTTTGTTTAGAATAGATTGTCACTGGTCCAATGCCGCCATCTTGTGGACACAGATAGAAATGCTGTTACTACAAGATCCCTCGAGTTCTTTTCACTTGAGCTAGTTCAAAGTACCTCCTTCGACGTTTTTATGAACGTTTATGGCATATTTGGCGCTCCAGGTATAGTGGTGAGGGGGAGTGGGCTCTTCCCGGTGACTATGGGTTTGTGTACGTCTGTAATGATGTGGAGGGTTAGGGTTAGGGGTTAGGTTTGTGTATGTGTTCCCGTCTCCAACGTGTGGAGACGGGAGGTGTACGGGCCCTATCTCTCCGTCCGGGTTGTGCGGTGTAGCTGGCGCTCCAGGTATAGTGGTGAGGGGGAGTGGGCTCTTCCCGGTGACTATGGGTGTGTGTACGTCTGTAATGATGTGGACGTCCCCTCTCTCTCTCTGGGACTCTAGTCCACTCATTGGGCCGTCTACGGGGGCCGCGTTCCCATGGGGAACCCCTTCTCCTCTCTCTCCCATACTCGTCCTGATGGCTATTGACCTCCCGCAGACTGTGGCCCCTCCGACCGTACGTGGGCCAATCCCGTTGGGAGTGGGTCCACTGTGGACTGCTGCGGGTGTATGGTGAGTAGGGAGTCCAGGTGTATTCTGGCATTTTTTGTTGTATTTTTTGTATTTTTATAAAAGACTTTATTAAAAGTGTTTAAACGGTTTAAAACAGACTTTATTAAAAGTGTTTAAAAGGTTTAAAACTTCAGATTGCCTCCTTTATGTTATGGGAGGCAAAAGAAAGACCTTAAGAGGTCTAAGACATTTTAAAATGCGCAGGTTCTCAGCATTAATAAATAAAGGACGTTAAAAAGAGCTATATAAAAGATAAAACAGGACGTTTCGACCGTGACTGGTCTTCATCAGGTGTAAAATAAAATGATAGCACGTTTGTAAGAGAGCTGTTCACGATGTGCACTGTCTGGAAGGCTGTTCAGACTGAACCAGAAGTGTCTCCCACACTTCTGGTCAGGGGTCAAGATGGTTAAAAGAATGGGTAGGTCTAGATCAGTTGAATAAATGGGTTACGTTTAGGGTTGGGGGTCAGGATGGGGTTGGATAAGTGAGTGTAGGTCCAGGTAAGTATTGTTGGTTAATTTTTTATTAGTTTTGCAGGTCGTTCCCAGTAATTCCAGGTAAGTGGGTTAGGGTGGTCCAGGGTTGGGATTAGGTCATTAAATACATGGGTTAAGTTTAGGTCATTAAATAAATGGGTTAAGTTTAGGTGGTTAGATAAATGGGTTAAGTTTAGGGTAAGGGGTCAGGATAGGGTTAGATTAGTGAGTGTAGGTCCAGGTAAGTATTGTTGGTTAATTTTTGATTAATTTTGCAGGTCGTTTCCCAGTAATTCCAGGTAAGTGGGTTAGGGTGGTCCAGGGTTAGGTCCTTAAAAAAATGGGTTAAGTTTAGGTCATAAAATGAATGGGTTGAGTTTAGGTTGTTAGATAAATGGGTTATGTTTAGGGTTAGGTTTGTGTATATGTCAATGGTGAGGCCAATGGTGATGCCAATGGTGATGCTAATGCTAATGCTAATGTTAATGTTAAAGCTAATGTTAATGGTGATGTCAATGCTAATGCTAATGCTAATGCTAATATTAAAGCTAATGGTGATGTCAATGGTGATGCCAATGGTGATGCTAATGCTAATGCTAATGCTAACTTAATGGGTTTTTGGGTCTCCTGCCAACCCAAACCAGTGGTAGGAGTGGCACTGCTCTACCACTACTACTTTTTTTCACAACACTCACACAGCGGTGTCTCTGACACCAGCTGGACACGCTCAATGAAGGGCAAGTTCTTATTCCCAAGTTTTGCGCAAAGTTAGAGCTAGAGCTCTACCATTTGGACAGGTCATAGCCTGTGTCGCTGGGATAGCGGGAAAAATAGGGGCCAGTTCTAATTCCCACACTTTTGCGCAAAGTTGCTGCTAGAGCTCTAGAATTTGGACAGGTCATAGCCTGTGTCGGTGCGATACCTGGGAAAATACTAATAACTTTGTATCTTTTTAAACTGCCCTACAATCGGTGAATGAATTTTGAATTTTGGCTGACCTTGCTGCAGCTCATATATGTGACTCGTCACATGAAGGGCTTTCCAACGATACCTCTATCATCGCTCTACGACCTCGTTTGGCCGAGTTATAACACTTAACAGGTGAGCGGTTTCAAACGGTTGTCGCCCCCTAGCTCCGCGGTGGAACATGGCAGGGACAAAAGCCGTACACCGTTGCGTTCGGCTGGCCGAGCCGGTTCCGTAGAGGTCTGATTTGTGCCTGTGCGACCTTCGGAACAGATTTTGGCCTTTGATCGCCTAGCTTTTTAGGGTAGGGTAAGGATCTACGGTCCTGAGACAGTCTTGAGCTTCTGGTCCAAAAACGGTCACTTAGACTTCCAAAGGGGATAGACGCCTGAATTTTGGATATGTGGTAGAGGGCCACGAGACGAGTCCAACGGTGTAGGGTAGACCTCCGGGGGCCTTACGGTTCTCGGTGGGCAGGCCTTAGAGCGGGAAAATTTTTCACGCTAATTAAGCTCGTCACGGCTTCAAATTTAATGGAAACGAGTCCAAATTCGGCACACGCCCATTTCAACCCCGTCCGACCGAGAATCTAAAGTTTCAACCCGCTCGGACACTCGGTTGGCTACTTTGCTTGCTATTGGTCGGTTTGAGTGGGCGCCTACATATTCGAGCTCAGAATAGCCTGCTGTGTAACGTAGTCAAAAATGAGGCTGGTAGTCCAAAGTTGAAATTTTGGTACACCTCCCCTTTAATGTTAGGCTTTTGAAGGCCCAAAAAGTGCTTGGAGGCTTGTAAAAAGTTCAAATTTCATCCAAACTAGTCGAAACTTGGTACGCACCCTTCTACGTACAAGCTGAACATTAATCCAAAGTTTCAACTGGCTCGGCCACCCGCTTTGTAAAAGAGGAGGGTCTCGGTGGCCAGGAAAATCCAGGAAAGTCCTGACTTTGGTTGGAGGACAGCGCCACCTTGCTGCAGCTCATATATGTGACTCGTCACATCTAGGGCTTTCCAAGGACACCTCCTTTATCGTTCTACGACCTTGTTTGGCCGAGTAATTAGACTTAACGAGGCGCATTTTTAAAAAAATTTGTCGCCCCCTAGCGCCGCGGCTGAACATTGCAAGGTCAAAAGCTTTACACCGTTGCGTTCAACTGGCCGAGCCGATTCCGTAGAGGTGTGGTTTGTGCCTGTGCGACCTTCGGAACAGATTCTGACCTTTGAAAACCATGTTGAGCGGGCCTTAGGTATACGTGCCCTTAAATCCTAATCATGACCCCCGAGTCAATATCCATCATAATGTGGTTCCGCTGTTGGTAGAGTGGTTAAGGTGATGGGATAGAGATCCAATGCTTGCGGGTTCGAATCCTGCCGATGCCATTTATATTATTATTGTAAAATTAGAGATCCAGTGGTCAGTGGACTCTAAATGTATTTGAAAATGACTAAGAAGGAATTTCTGTTTTTTTAGTAGTCTACTGCTAATGCTAATGCTACTGATACTGCTACTATCACTACTACTACTACTACTACTACTAGTCTACTGCTAATGCTAATGCTAAAGCTAATGCTAAAGCTAATGCTAATGCTAATAATGATGGTGATGGTGATGCTAATGCTAATGGTGATGCTAATGCTAATGCTAATATTAATGGTGATGTCAGTGGTGATGCTAATGCAAATGCTAATGCTAATGCTAACTTAATGGGTTTTTGGGTCTCCTGCCAACCCAAACCAGTGGTAGGAGTGGCACTGCTCTACCACTACTACTTTTTTTCACAACACTTTAGAGAGACGCCAGTCACACAGCGGTCTCTCTGACACCAGCTGGACACGCTCAATGAAGGGCAAGTTCTTATTCCCAAGTTTTGCGCAAAGTTAGAGCTAGAGCTCTACAATTTGGACAGGTCATAGCCTGTGTTTATGTCATCTATGAGCCTGAATTTTGGGATTCTGCATGGTTGGGAACCCCCTCAAAATGGATCCGAAAAAATGTGGAAGCAGAATCTGGAAGTTGCTTCCAACTTCCAGATTTTCATCTATTGCATTGCTTCCAACTTCCAGATTTTGAACTCACACAAAGGTTCTCATAAACACACTTGTACTCACACACAGGTCCTCATAAACACACTTGTACTCACACACAGGTCCTCATAAACACACTTGTACTCATACACACACTTGTACTCATACACACACTTGTACTCATAAACACACTTGTACTCACACCCATGTCCTCATAAACACACTGGTCCTCATTAACACACGTGTATTCACACACAGGTCCTCATAAACACACTTGTACTCATACACACATTTGTACTCACACACAGGTCCTCAAACACACTTGTACTCATAAACAAACTTGTACTCATACACACACTTGTACTCACACACAGGTCCTCATAAACACACTTGTACTCATACACACACTTGTACTCACACACACAGTGTGACTTTGTCCCATGCAAAGTAATGTACGCATTCACGTCTGTATTTTTCCCTCCCTTTCGGCCAAAATGTTTGGAGAGATCCGGTCATTTATCAAACTAAAGTATTCTTTCCTTGGCAGTCTGGTGAATGACTGAGAGTTGAGGAGCTTTGTCTTTGACAGTTCTCGTCAACTGAAAGGCCACCGCAGACTGCAATATAAGATCTCAGCGCTAGATGGCACTAAATATAACACAGTGTACCTTTAAGTTTTTAAGAAAGATCCCAGTTTTTCCAATGTAAAAAGTTTATTGAGAAACTAAATATTAACATACTTTGCTTCAGAGGAGTAAATGCATTTGTTTTACAAAATCTCACTGTGAATCTCCCTCAGCTCCATGTCCTGTAACATCGACCCATTCAGTTTGTATTTAAAACCGGTTCAAATCCTCCAGAAAATAACAAATACAACAGTAATTTTTCCTGAAATAATGACTGAAAAGGTTTAGGCTGATGTCACTGATCAAAGCCTAACATCACAGAGAACAGTCTAGGGTTTGAGACCGGGATCAGGCCGACAGTAGGATGACCCTGAGGCGTTCCACCGCCTCCTTGGAGCGCCCCCTGGTGGTCAGACAGACAGACTCTTTACGATGTATAGATTTCTTATGAAACAATAGAAGCAACAATAGTTGAAGCTGAACTCATTACAACAATAAGCTGAAGCAGGTTTTCCACAGTTTTGGTCTGAAGCTAACGAAGCTAATGAAGCTAACAAAGCTAATGAAGCTAACTTCTCTCTTGGTGACGTCGCAGATGCTGAAAGGAGGAGGACCCTGATTGGTCCAGACAAAATGGTCTTTTTACCAACAGTAGAATTATCATTTTGTCTTTATTTATAAAAGCTTAAGCCTCACACTCTTTTAAGTAATTAAGAAATATTTATTTTGTCGCTTTACAATTGTTGTGGACAGAGATGGAGCAGTCGCCTACAGGAGGCTCATGCCTGACCTATTGTGC